TCATAGCAAAAAGTAAACCGTTTATCTTCATTGTATTTCAACCAATTTAGGCGATTGTTTTTTTAATAGTTGAAGAATGTTTCAAATTTTATTTGTACAGATGAAGTTTACAAATATCTGTGAAGATCAATGCTTATTATTGATTTCAATAGTAAATCGAACCTTTTCCACAATATGCAACACTTTGAATTGGTTACTTCAATATTTTTTTTGTAAATCTTGACATTACATCATCTGAATCTTTTACTTTTGTTTTAATAAATCCTTTTTTTTTCCGAGCATTTTTCTTTTATAAACAGAGTTAATGGTACATTTTTTTTTTCATAACGATTTGTTTCTAGGGTGTAATCAAAACGTTCATAACTGGTAAATTATAGTAGATAAAAGATTTCATACTCTTTGAACTTTACAATGCTACACATTCTTTTTTTGTAAGAAACATCTCAACAAGTATTTAGAAACAAGATTGAAAAATTCGAATAATAGAAAGTCGACAATCAAAAGAAGAATCGAAATTACTAAATCAAACAGTTGAATATTGTTTTATGCACCATATCGAAAAAAGTCTTCGCTTTACATGAGTTAAAATATAGTAAAATTAAATGTTTCTTTTTTTGTTGAATGATTTCTAGGTATCCTGTAAGATAGGGATCTAAATAAAATGTACAAATTTATTCGGTATACATTTTAATAACGATGAGAATTCAGATATTCAACGGTAAGCGAGTGACATATTCTTCTGATAAATCAAAAATAAGAATTTCAACGATTGAATAATAACATAAAAAAAAAGAAAATTTAGCAAGGAAGAAAATGTAGAAATACAAACAACAAGACGAACTATATAAACAAGAAAGGTAAAGACCAATGGTGAAGCCGTACAATGGGACAAGACTGGTTACATATACACAAATTCTAATTCAAACAGAGAAATAACAACTGATGTTAAGTCTTCAACCTCTTTATTCTTTTTGTAGAAAACTAATATCTATATTAATCATTGATTCCTTTAACTAAAAGTATTCTATTAAAAGATATTTTTTCAAAAACATCGATTGAAATCTATATGATGAATACATGTCGTTTAATTTCTTGAAATTTGAATGTTCAAAGCATAGGAAAAAAAAATAGTGAATTTCAAGAGAGTATCTCATTCGGTTCAAGATATTCATTGAATAGATCATTATCAACCAAAGATCAAGAGTTCTTCATAAATATGAATTTTTTTTTACTGAACATCTTTATATATTTTCAGAAAGAAAACAAAACATAAGACTACAAATAAATAAAATGAAAAGTAAATTAGTGTATTCAGTGACATTTTCATGTCGACTAAATATTTGTCTATAATGATCTTTACTGATAATTTATTTATTCAGGTGAACTCGAGATACTAATAAGATTGTTCTAATAAATTTTAACATTTCGGATTGGTGAAAAACAAAATAAGAAAAAATTTATACTAAATAAAAATCGAAAAGAAATATAAAGAGTAGTTTGAAACTTATTTATTAAAATAAAAATATCCTATTTTTATTGACATAAAATTGTTTCTTTCATACGTCTAATAACAGTAAAAAATGCTTGTCGAAAAATACAACCACCACTTAATGTATAGATATAAAATGACATTCCACTAGCTAAATAAGTTAATAAAATTTCAAATGAATAAATTGAAGTTTCAATTGTATTTTGTATTGATGTTTTATTTTTATTTCGTGTTATTGTTGAATATATTTGTTGTATTGCTTGTGGAAGTGTAAATAAAGCAAGAAAACTAATTTGTATAAGAAGCATTATTAATAAATGACGATCTATACGTCGAAATCTTTGTCGTTGATCATTAAAATTTATTGCATTACTTAGTCTTGGTAAAAGTGGAGATTGTAAACGATATTTTAATTTACGTACATTTGATATTGTCATAAAACCAAATAAAAGCATTAATATCAATGGAAATATAATTGTTATACATGTATAAATTAGTTCGGCAAATATTCGACATAGAATTGTTCTACTATAACATTTAAGTGGTGTATTTATTAAATTTGCTTCATAACAATAAAATAGTGGTGAATAAAGAATTAACGAAAATAGAATAATAATAATTGTTCCTTGACGAGCACGTTTTAATGAACTTAATAATCGACGACGAGCACTAAGACATGATAAAAGCCAACGATCATTACTTGCTAACATGATTAACCATGATGAAATGGTTCTCGATGTGTAAAGAATAAAAGCACGAAGTTTACAAAGCCATCCGATTCTATCTGTTAAATCATCCGTCCAATATGAGATAATTCGTGTTGTAAGACCAGATAAAAGTACAATAAAATTTGCCAATGATGAAATAAGAAATAACCATGCACATGGATTTGATCGTAACGATCGTTGTGATAAAACAAGAATATTAAGAATGTTTCCAATAACACCAAATATAAACAAAAATATCGAAAAATAATAATTTACATGTGCTAACATATTATTCCATGATGCAATAAGAATTGCATCTGGTGTTGTTGATGATAATGATGATGATAGCGACAGCATCTATCTAGTAAATAAAGACAATGTATACGAAAGAGAGAGAGAAACAAAAGTAGACGGGGATAAGAAAAAAAATCAGATGTTCTTTATCATTTCTCATTTTTCAAAGCTGCTCTTTTTCGTGACATACGCATGAATGCAAAATTATGTATAATGAATATGAGAATAGTGGCTGATGATCGTCACTTTAATCAAGTCAACATGCAATAAGAGAAAAGACAAAAAAAAAACATTTCATAATACAAAATATCATTTTATTTTATTCATCAGATGAGAAAATCAAAGAATCTAATTCAAAAAGAAAAAATTGTCCATGTGTAATAAATAATTGACAACATATATACAGAAAAAAGGAAATATAATACTGCTGACAACTATTATAATGACGAAAAAAGACAAAATGTGATGAATCAACGAAATATTGCGCTATAAAGATATAAAAATAAATCAATTAAAAATGTGCATATTTTTTTTCCCATCTACATAAGATCAATATTCTTTTACAAAAGAAAATTAATTAAAGAGGATATAATTAATAATTCTATTATCTTACAGATGCTTACGAATAAAATTATAAATATTATACCGTTCGTCATGAAATAGAAAAACTTAATGATTATATTTTTATGTCAGCTTGTATGCTACTTTAAGTACATGAACTATATCAAATAAAAAGTATGGAAATTCTATTATAATCCAAGCAGACAAAAATTTCGAAAAACGTGTTTAAACGCACAATCGGAAATCGCGACTGTGATCCATTCACGTTCATTAAAAAAAACGCACGAAACGACATTTTTTGTGCAAAATAGTCACTTTTGGAACGTGAAAACTGTGGAAAATTTCAGTTTTTTGTGTTAAAACGTTCTTTCCTCTGAAGTTTAGAGATAACGCGTTTAAATGCTCAGTTCTTCAATTTTTCAACGTTTTCACATTCCAAAAGTGACTATTTTGCATGAAAAACGTCGTTTCGTGCGTTTTTTTAATGAGCATGAATGGATCACAGTCGCGGTTCCCGATTGTGCGTTTAAACACGTTTTTCAAAATTTTTGTCTGCTTGAGAATCAATAAAGATTATCATAAAAGCATAAGATCATATATTTATGAATTTCAAATAGTAAAACAAGGAAATAAATATTTTCAGAATTATTGAAGTTCATAATACCATAGACATTTTTTCTTTTTGTTTGCATGGAATCAACAAAACAACAAACTATGTATATATATATTTTTTGCTTTTAAATCATTTACATATAAGATAACTCAAAGATAAGAGCTATTACCCATATAAATCAGTTCAGAATAGAATATTTTAGTAGAATGAATACTTGAAATAATAATAACTAACGTATGCGGCCTATGTAATCTTTATCGTGATCTTGTATTGATAATAAAAATAGATATACATATCGAAAGTTCTTACATCAATGCACTTCCATAATCAATGATATCGATACTTATAAAACTATCTATTTGATTTGTCAACTATTTTACTGAAATAAATTAAACTGTTTGAATAAAAGCTGGTATCTTTTTTAGTCATGAAAATATTAATTATCTTTAAGAATCAGATAAACTTTTACCTATATGCATATTAGCTTATTAAATTTGAAATGTTACTTCAAAATACACTGAAACTTCTATTAATAGAAAAGATTATATAGATCATTTTAACGATGATGGTAATTCAAGAATTGAAAAGTACATCGGTTGGTTATATCTATTTTGTTAACATTTCTTTCTTACAGTGTTCGAGTAGTTGTTTCTTTAAAAGATGCACTTTATCAATAGTGTTTTGTTTTCTGAAGAAATAAGAAAAATCAGAATTAAGATTTATTTTACAAAGAATTCTATTTTAGATCAAGCTGTTATTTAAGTTACTTACTATAGATATTTAATTTTCCTAAAAAAAAAAAAGATTAACTGCTTTGACAAAAAGAAAGAAAACTCAAATGATATCTAAATGAAATTAAAAGTCATAATGCATCTTTCACCCTTACTTATACAGTAAAAGAAATTATAATTAAATATTTTTCAATGCATTCCGACAGATTATAATTAAAATATATCCTCGATATACTAACGAATAAAATTTTTTTAGTACAACATGAACAACAGAACTTTATTTACTTATTGTTATATGAAAATATCTGTGTACAAGGATTTAGAAGATCAGATAATAATAGACATTAATTACATCAAAAAGAATTAATTTCAAGTTTTTTTTTTTTCGAGAAATCAAGTAAAATTAACTACTTTCTGGTTTAATACAAGTGAGAAAACTAAAAGAAAATAATTCTCGAAAGAAAATAAATTACTCAATGATTAAATTTTTTGAATTATTATTTTTTTTCTATATTTAAACAATTAAATAACCAAGTTTATATTTCTTTTCTTATATTAAATTCGAATTCGAATATAATTACAAACTTCACTAGCTATAATGCGTTTAAAAATCAATAAAAGAAAATTTTCATATAAAGACTTTCGTTTAGAAATATCACACAAACAAGAAGTAAACAATAACTTCGATATCAATTCTAATTTAAATCCTAAATAAAAATTCAAACAAAAATATGAATTAATAAGTTACATCGAAATTTTATCTACTGGTTCAAATTTACTTTCAAAAATTATATGAGACACTTTCTTCGATTTTGACATTTAGAGTAGTGTCATCAGGAAACTATTCTAATGATAATGGATGAAGACGGAAAGAATTACATAGAGCGTGCATCGCCGGAGTACAGGAAAGTTCTTTTTTTTTTGTAAATTACAATTGTAATTGAGATAAAATTATCTTTGACCTTTTCGTTTTTCTCTGATTATATTTATTGTTTCAGATAAAACTAATCTTATGCTTTTTTTGTTTTCTTCATTGATGATTATACACTTTCATTTCGAAAATTCTTTATACACATAGAACAATTTATAAAATTATAGAAAAATTTTTTCGTAAAATTTAAGAGAATATTTCGAAAAAATTGAGTAAAATGATTTCTTTCTTTGAAAATAAACACTAATCAAATGATAAATTTTACAGATCGTTTTATATACATATATATTTCATCTTTTTCAAAGTTTATATCTCATAAGAAATTGATATAACTCATCTTATTTCAAGTCAAAAATTATTCTATGCAAACAGTTGATTGTGTTCTATAAAAAAAGTATTATTAATGATTTCAATAGAAGTACTTTCAATATTCTATTATAAACAACATCGAGCATTTCTTATTATTCTGAATAGTATTAAGCAATGGAGGTTTTCTTTCAATTGAAAGAAGAATGTTTAAAGATCTTTAATCAACGTTTGAAATTCGATTTACATAGATCATATTTTTAAAAAAAAAGCTTCTTCTAAAAGAATATCTATCTGATAAAACTGAAATTCTCTTATACCTACCTGACTTTCTTTAGATTCCGTTTAAAAGAAAAAAAAATAATCTGAATAATTTGCGATATGATTCCTGAGAATACAATTACATATATATCCATATTTGATCTTTCTTTTCGCAGAAAAAGAAGAGTTCGGGAGAATTAGAAGTCATCAGAAGTATTCATTTACTGAAAATCACTTTTGTCATTCTGTTACTACCGCATGCGATTGGTGTGAGAAAAAAAAGTGGAATATTCTTCCGGTCTTTGATAACATGAAGAAGAATAGAAAAACAACATTAAGAATCGGAACTCTCAAAAATCTAGTGAATAATGCTTTTCTTTTGTCTGTATTTTTAATCGAAGATATGATTCTCAAAGTATCCGAATAACAACATTTTTCAATAAAGCATTATTCTCTCCTCTCTCTCAGTCGTTGTAGATGAAACGTTGATTTCTAATATAATATGATCATATAGGTTAAATCATGTGTAACTTGTTTTTGTGATTTTTTTAAGATGCCGATAGCAATATTGATCGACAATGAGTGATTATAAATGCATAGTTATTATTGAAATAAGGAAAAATTCATAAATGAAAATAGACGATTTGAGATAATGCTTGAAAGAGTGAGTTTTATTAATTCTAACATCAAGAAGATATAATTCTTCTCGTTGTGTGTCGCTAGATGATTTCTATTTCCTTTCTATGAAAAAAAAATTGTAAGCAATTTTATTCATTTCCTATATTTGTCACATAAAACTCTAGCTGATTTATGCAAATACTCGGTTTTTTCTTCTTGAATTGATCAACGTCAATTATTCTATCTTATTTATTCGCCACAAACGATCTAATACCAAAAACATAAAAGAAAAATTCACTATATGCATGATCATAGAAGTAAAAACAGAACATTTACAACAGCAAGTTGAACGACGCGGATCATTAAAATTTTATCTTCGATTAATAAATAAGATGATTTCTAAGCTTATGAAAGCTTCTTATGGCAAACTCGATTACTCAGTAACATTATAAATGATAGTTTTTAGTTATGTCATGATGAAAAATCGATTTATATAAAAATATTAAATTATATTTTGAATTTTGTTATTTGTGTGATGTATAATCTTTGCTCTAATATGTAATATCACTTCAAAAATTTACTTATAATTATTCTATTTATCATAAAAATTTCTTTCTTTTAGGATTTATTCTTTATTATATATTTCATTAGTAAACTAGATGTCAAACTACATTAATTTATTAATAATTATTGCTTCTATAATGTAGATAGCTGATACATAACATTACATATTGAAGAGTTGTTCGACACAGAATACTCTTCCGTTCCATAGTTACGAGGCTGACAACAAAAATAGGTGTCATCCATCATAACTCCTTTTGTAATTAAGCAATAACGGCACCGCAATACCAATGGTCTACTTTCTTGATAGAGTGTGTATACACTAATTTTCAGATCTCTAGCACATATTATGACCAAGATCGGCTAGGGCGGAGGCTTTTGTCCACTGCTGTACTATTAACATATTTATTCAGAAAATATTTCACGAGGCTAACGTGAAATAACAAATGTATGCCATCATTTTGTAAGTATGCTAGCGAGT